TGTATAAACAAGAATTGTAAAGCTAAAGCAATAATAGAAAATTCATGAACATTAATTTATAACATTTTAAAAGTGCAGAAATATTTAATTAAATTTCATAAACTCAATTTAAATGTAATTCACCTACCTTGCAAGTATCGAACCAACTCCACAATGTTGCATGACGTTGTCTAACCACTTGTCTCTACCTTAATCCACACCTAAGGATAGTTACAATTGAACTAAGCACACATCATAATTATTTTTAATAATTAACATAATTAATTTTCTAATTTTGGAATTATTTAAAATCCAAAATTTTGGAAACCCTAAATCTTAAATTTCGCTCAAATCTTTATATCAAAATTATCCCTAAATATTATTTAATAAATATCTTATTAATTTTCGGATTAAATAATTAGGGAAATTATAAAAAATAAAATTTTCATTAAAAATTCAAATTTATGTTTTAAAAACATTCCTAATGCCCTTAGGAATAACTTTTGTAAAAGCACTTTATAGAAATTTAAATTTCTTGTAAAAACCCTATAATTTCATCCTCCAAAATTTTTTTCAATTCATCGCTAAATCATCTCTATTAATCCTTACCTAACAATTTCGTAAAGAAATTTGGAAGAAAATGCATTTTCTAGAAAAACCCTAGAAACTTCGTTCTCAAATAACTTGAGATTTAGAAGAAGAAACGAAATTCTAAGACATACATTCTTTTTCCCTTGATCTCCTTTTCGATTTCCTCTAAATTTTTCGATGGAAAATCACCTCCGGAGCCGCCCGTCGCCCCTACCGTCCGCCCCTTTCATTTCTCTTGGCTGAATCATGCGTGAATAGAGAGGAGAGGGGTTCGGTTGCCTATTAAGTATTAAGAGAAATTGGTTTTTGCAAATGACCCTCTTGCCCTTACTTAAAAAATCCAAGTGTTTCCTAACATAAGCATCTGCTTCTATCCTATTGGCCACATCTATTAGGGGGTTTAAGCAGCGTCTACAAACAAACAATGTTAGAATAATCATGACTTATTTTACCCCTACTTGAACACGGCCACCAACCGAAAAAGTATGTATCTCTACCCTATCCACTTAAGGGTAAATGCCCATAATGCAAATAATGACAATATTCATCACACCACATCATCAAATACATGCGCAGAAAAAAAAATCACAATTCTAGCATGCCTAAAGGGCTATACACCTAAGTGTGTGAGGCTTGTGTAGCATGTAACTACACAAGTTATTTGATTTTATTTTGAAATGAAGATGTTTAATCTTAATCTAAGAGCAATTTCAAAGTTGTTTATGACTTAAATATTTTATTTGATTTTTAGAGGTTTCATATTTATAAGGGTTATGAAGAACCCATAAAGCAGTTACTACTTGCTTTTAGGCAAGCTTGCTACTTATGAGTCCTAAGATACAATGATACAAACATCCACCTTTTGGGGTGGGGTGATTGATCGTTATATCAAAGAAAACCTAAGTATTATTTAGGTGTTTGTGGGTTCTCTTACTGTTTTGATGAGAGAGAAGTGTCTATCTAATAGGGTAAGGTAGACGTGCCTAAGGGTTATACTTAGGACTTTGTGAAGTTCTCTTGATTTGGTGAGGTGAACTTCAACAGATAGAAAATTCCTAAGGGACATTTAAAGGTTATGTATTAAATGTCATATGAGAGATCATTTGTTATGAGATGCTACTTAGAATTTTAGTCTGAGAATGATGTGTCCAACATATAGCTTTGAGACAAAGTGTTGAAAGATTTTCTTCAACTTTTGGAGCTAGAAAGAAGAGAATAAAGATGTCCAAAATTTAGCTTTTATACTAGAAGTTGGAGAGTTCCCCTTTAGCTTTTGGAGCTAAAGAGAAATGAATCTCCTGCAACTTGGAGGTTGGAGGAGGAGATGAAACCTATAGCTGTGAGGCTAACGAAATGAGAATTTCTCCAAGGCTTTTGGAGCCTGTGGAGAAAAGTGATGACTTGTGATTTTGGGTCACAGGTCATGGAGCAGTTATTGAACTTTGTGTTCAATAATGCAAGATGATTTGCCTAATATGGTAAGGAAAACAACAAAATGATGACATTTAGATGTGGGCTACAAGTCATGATGAATTTCCTTTGAACTTTTAGATGTTCAAGGAAGAAAGTTTCATTCTTCCAACTTGGGTTGAAGGTATGAAAGGAGGGAAACCCAACTTAAGAGTTGCAAGTTGAAGGATATATTCTAAACTTTTGGTGTTCAAAGAGAAGATACAAGCTAAGCTCTCCTAATTTGAGTTTAGGAGAATGTAAGAGTTTCCTATGGCTCTTAGCTGGGGAAAGTTGGAGATTTTCTACGATTTTGGCTCTTAGAATATGAAGTGGAAGATGCAATTTATAGATTATAGTTAAAGAAGTCAATTTGCAGTGAAGGAAGGAAAGATTTGTTGAAAGAAGGGAAGATTCCTTGAGGTAATTATTAATTGAGAAGAGTTTACTCACATATTTTGTTAGAAGATAATGATAGAAAGTATAATTGAGATTATGGAAGAATTTATGCCCTTTAATATTATGTAATGTAGATTAATTAGTCAAAAGCCCTCTTTAGAAATGGTTCAAGTAATTTGTGTTAGTTTGAACAATGAAAGGTTTTCATGCTAAGACGAATATTGGAGGTATATTTTAGATAATCAAATATTTGGAAGGAATCTGAACATACAAAAGTATTCAAAGTGGGTAATATAGCATAATTGTTTTATGAAAATTTCAAATTCTTTTCTTTATGTTATTACAATTCCTTTTAATTATTGCAATTAAAGCATGTTATAAGAATTAATTGAAATAATAAAGAAAATTTAAATGTAAATTATAATTATACGTAATTATCATTATATGTATGATATATTTAAATGTTAAATATGCAACAATCCTGAGAATTATTGAATGACTAAGATTATAGTATAATGTATATATGGGTAATAAATTATATAAAAATAAAAGTGATAAAAGAGGAAAAATGTAAATGCATGCAAATTACAGGAGTCCAACCCTATATGGCATTGACTGAGGAAGCAACATACCCGCGCACATTAAATGGAAATAAAAATTGTTGTATCTTTATTGGTACATTTAGATGGTGCTCCTCTACTAAATGAAAAAGGGAAAGTGATAAATGAGAAAATGAAAAATGGATAAATATTAATTTGAAAAAGTAATATGTTATTGGACAAAGATATAATAAAGATCTAACCCATATGAATTGATATATTTGTGTATATGTTAGATAAAAAGAAAGAGAAAAATGCATATAATTCATTATGTATTTTTCATATATAACTGTTATGTTATAAGAATAATTATCCACTGAGTTTAATTTATAAACTCACTCTATTAAACTAACATTTTCAGGTAAGTCTCCTATTAAGTGAAAATGGCAAAAGGAGAGGAGTACGTCTACAAAAGACGGTGCTCAAATGAAAGTAGATAAAATATGTTTATGTTTAAATATATATTCAATGTATAAGTAGTGTTAGTAGCTCTTCAGTTTTTGAGGAATATTAGTCATTACCGTTATGTGCAATTGTGAAAAAATGTATTAACTGTCCGACTTTGTTCCCGCCTTTGAGTTTCCAGACCGGGTTGTGACAACTCCTACGAAAACATTCTCATTTGAAGGATTCTTCTCAATGGATTTCCTTGTTTGAGAGGGTTCTCTCCATGAAGCCTTTCTGATTTGGAGGACCATTATTAATGGCTTTCCTTCTGTGAGAGGATTCCATAATGAAGTCTTATTTGAAGGATTTTTATAATAGTTTTTATTGTTTATTTCTTTCCTTGTTGTTTGTAAATTCTATTTCATAAATAGTGGATTCATGTAAAGAAAATAGAACAACAAATGAATATGATTAAAAATAACTAAAAACAAGATGGATCTACTATATTATAAAAACTAACACAAGGATTAGCAAAAAGAAATTACATGTATAGAACGGTTGAAGTGAAACTTCAGATTAACTAAAAAATTATTCCGTGATGAAAAAGGTTTTTTTTTAAGAAAGGGTGTCATTTTCACCTTTTCGGTTGTTCTCTTTTTCTCATTTTTTATGGCCTGTGAGCAATTGTGATGTTTTCGTAAGCTAACCAAAATTCTTTCCATTGTAGGATTAATCCATATACAATTCATAAATGTTGTAGCTAAGCCCAAAACTAAACTTCAAGTGATTAACATGAGACCAGAACTTTACAAATCAGAAAAAGAAATTTTTGTCCAAATAGTAATGCTTCCAGTAGTTGTATGAGAGACGGTGTGAGAAGGGATCAGCACCAACTCAATCTCCATGCATTTTTAAGATTTAACGGTCTACAAGGCCAAAACTTGAAGGCACCAGGAAGAAACGGCAGTGATTCGGACCATCTGTCATTTCCTCAAATAGCCTTGTGACGTATATAGGTTATCTAATTATTTATGGCTAAGGAGGTTCACCACAAGCTTCTGTATTCAAAGTACTGATTTAGTTCTGGGAACATTGAAATTTAAATATGCAATAACCTCTGGATAATAGAACTTCATTTTTTTCTGTGTTGCATCAATTTTACAGGGACGAATCAAAGTCACAATACTTTTCATTCATTATGAACATTAAATACAACTTCTGCATTGCGAAGTACATGAAGCAAATTAGTTTAACTATAAATTTCAGTGAATCATAAATATCTAAAGATGTATGGAGAAGTAACTTTTACACAAAGATGCATGCATTTGTCCTATATAAAATTAGTAACTTTATCTTCTTCAACTAGGTTCATCTTATGGACATATCCAGCAAGTAATTGCAGCTAATGAGAAGTGATGTTATAACCAAAAAAAAAAACTAAGAACTTTGAAGTACCCAACAATTTGTAACTAATACACACACAAAAAAAAACAAATAGACAATCAATTTCTTCAAGTAAAATGCTTAGACTAATTAAATCTCCACATTATTCTCAAATTTTGAGGAATCAACAACTAAATGTTTCCCTAAATCAACCTTTATGCCGAAATAGGGAGCAGCAGCACGTTCAAGAGAGAAGAGTATTTGCTTGCCAAATGATGATGTTACCGGATATAGCTGTTCAATTTTGGAAAACAAAAATAGAAAGATGAGAAGAGAAGATCATCACCACCTGAATAAAATAAATTTCATGGTTTTGCACAAGCATGAAGATGAAAATCAACATCATGAAAAAACTAAACATAAAGACAAAACAATAGATAATTCCTGAGCCAAAAAGTGCTGAATGCATGCTTCTACTTTTTTTCTCATTTCATGAGAGATGAATAAAAAAAGTGTAATCTTACTTAGCTTAACGAACATACAGCCATCTCATAATGGGCTATATTTGTTTCTAAACACTAATTATTATTGTTGCAAATGTGGCAAAAAAAATCCAAGATTTATCAGATTAAATGAGGATCTTTCTTATTTTGTTTACTATTATTGATTTCTTGTTTGGGATATTCACATTGTGAATCTCCAAGATTTAAGGTTTCCTATTGTATCGTGGTTGTTGCATAAATCCAGCAATGCATGTTTGAATTAATAGGCTTAGGGACAGTGGCGGAGGCAGAAGATTTTTATAAGGGGGGCATAATTTCAATTTTTTATTTTCCCTCAATTTTTTTTTCATCTGGGATTAGAATTGATATTCATAGTTTTAAAAATTTTGTTTATTAAATTTATTAGATTAAAAAGATAGAATATTACAAAAACTTATAATTTGACGAAGAGATCAAATGCCGATCGATGAGAGTACAAAATGGAAGATGAGCAAACTGAAATCCTGTGGAGCATTTTGTCGAATACATTGAATATGCTGTTTGAATTATCAACAATAAAAGCAAGATAAAATGTTTAAGAAAAAACCATCTTTAGCCTGTAACCAGGAAATTATCAGTGCTGAAAGCCTGATAGGCATGCCATCGAACACTTTGGGCAAGCCATTTAGATGCCAATATAAATAAATAAAGAAAATAATTGTCACAAAAAAAAAAGAAATTAATAATAATAATTTAAAACATAGACTACCAGAAAATGAAATAAAATGGTAACATTAATGAAGCATTTAGTCTAACACTTTGTGAGCATCTTTCACAATTTTTTTCCCATTATACCCTCCAAGCATAAGATACTGAAGCTCATCAATGAGGCATCCTTGTAAACTCCCTGCAATGAAACCGAAGCTCATCTGCAATCACCTTCTGCACATGATTCGCAACCTTAATCGCCAACTTCCCGCCGCCGCAGGTCTCCTCCTTGGCTCCTTCCTCAACATCGGCAAGAAAGTGGCTATTCAACAAAAAACATGCAGTTTTGGCTATTCAACAAAAAACATGCAGTTTTTTTTTAGTAAGGTAAAGCAGTAAATAACACTCAGTACAGAGTAGGATAACACTCGATACATAGTACGATAACACTCTGTACATAGTAGGCTATGAGGTAAAGCAGTAAATAACACTCGGTACATAATAGGATAACACTCGGTACAGAGTAGGATAGCACTCGGTACAGAGTAAGATATCACTCGGTACAAAATGGGATGAAATAAACTGTGTTGTCACTTATAACCACCCACTTTTCATGCTTTTTGAAAGCAGTCTGCCATGGATTGATGGTCTTGAGGCTTGTTACCCTTTGCTCTGATTGTAAACTTTCAAGCCGCATATAAAAATTTACCGTAGTCGTAGCATGGCTAAGTGTTGCACGCTACGTAGTGAGGATTGTAGTAATATAAGATATACGATGATTAGAAATAAAAATTGATGTATCTCTCGATGCTAAGTACTCACTCATATCAACCTATAAAATTATGGGGGCTTCAATACCCACCAAAAACTATTAGATATATAATGATACCTGCCGAGATGTATAGGCAAAGTAAAGAGATAGATAGCTTACTGGAGCAATTAATGCGCCGACAAGGTGCAGATA